TGTGCAAGAGAGTGACATTATTAATGTATTCTAGAAGCTTGGTATAAGGATGAGAGTAGTCAGTAACCAGAGGAAGGAAAGCTGGTCTGGGCAGCTGGTTCAGTAATGTCTGAAATAGGAGAGGTACCTTCAAAAAGCCAATTTCTGCTCTGTGCTTGAGGACATTTTCACCCCCTAGACTTTTTGCTCTGTGTAGGTAATTCATAAGTGTTCTTTTACCTCAAACTTACTAAATCCATTTCTCTCCCTCTCTTTCTCTCACTTCCTTTTTCTTTCCTCACTCTCTCTGTCCTTCTCTCTCCTTTTGTCCCCAACTCTCGATTTCTGTCTTTGTTAACTAAGTTATGTATGAATAATTTTTCTCTACTATTTATATTCTGGCCACCATGTGAGGCATCAAAGGTTCAGAGAATATGGTTCTATTCTTCTGAGAAAAGCAAATAATAAGGGAACTGTGGGGCTTTAGTGAGCAGCCAAGTACAAGTTTGTGTCAGACTTCAGGGGGGCACAAAGTACTAATTACTACGTCAGAGGAGATGACACTGAAGCCCACATGGAAAAATGACAAGGAAGTCATAGGGGAGTAAGAGGAGGGATGCTGTGGGACAGTAGAGAGCATGGGCTCTGTCCTCAGGTAGCTGGCAGTTTTGGGAACTGCGGAACAGGTCTTATGTACAGGAGTGAGGGACCATGACATGGGAGGAGTTAACAGGGCTTTGTGTGTCATGCTTAAGATTTTGATTTTCATTCCAAACATGCTGGAGGTTGTGGACGAATTTACTTAGTGGCATCAGTTACTTATTTATTTTTGATAGATTGAATCTGCAAATTGGGGATTTACAAGTTCAGGGTCTACAATGATTGAGACAAGATGCTAGTCATGGTTCAACCACTTGGTGGCTCTGAGCCCTTGGACAAGGCACCTAACCTCTCTAAGCCTCAGTTTCTTTCTTTCTTTCTTTCTTTCTTTCTTTCTTTCTTTCTTTCTTTCTTTCTTTCTTTCTTTCACTTAGAGCCTCTTATTTATTTATTTTTAATGCCATAAAATGCTGGTTTATTAACACCCCATTTATAACCATCAATAGATTCTTTTTTCCATTTTTTATTTTAAGATAAACTAGAACCACTGCACAGATGTAGCCCATGGCAGTTCAGTGTCCAAGTGGGTTCCACAGTAATGGGAACAGTGACTGTTTCTGACATGAACTGATTGGCCGGTGCTTTGATCACCTCCCCTTGAGGGGGAGCAACCTTACCAGTCCACAGAGGAAGACAGTGCAGCTACTCCTGATGAGACCTGATAGACTAGGATCAGAAGGAAGGAGAGGAAGACCTCCCCTATCAGTGGACTTGGGGAGGGGCAGGTATGGAGAAGGGGGAGAGAGGGTGAGATTGGGAGAGGAGGAGGGAGGAGGTCACTGGGGGATGGAAAGTGAATAAAGTGTAAATAATAATAATAATAATAATAATAATAATAATAATAATAGCCTCAGTTTCTTAAGAAAGACAATGCAGAGTCCTGATGAGACCTGATAAGCTAGGGTCAGATGGAAGGGGATGAGGACCTCCCCTATCAGTGGGCTGGGGAAGGGATATGGGAGGAGAAGATGGAGGGAAGGCAGGATTGGGAGGGAATAAAGGAGGGGGCTACACTTGGGATACAAAGTGAATAAATTGTAATAAATAAAAAATTAAAAAAAAATAAAAACATAAGCAAAAATCACAGATGTCCTCTGAAAGACCCAGGAGGTGATTGAAGTGGATGCAGAGACTCACAACCAAACCTTGGACAAGTGCAGGGAGTCTTATGAAAGAAGGGGTAGGGGTTTAAAAAGACCTGGAGGGGACTGGAGCTCCATAAGGAGAGCAACAAAGCCAAAATTCTGGGCCCAGGGGGGCCTCCAGAGAGTGATGCATCAATCAAGGGCCATGCATAGAGAGGACCTAGACCTCCCCTATTCATATGTAGCCCATACACAGCTCAGTTTCCATGTGAGTTTCCTAGTAAGGGGAGTAGGGGCAGTCTCTGATATAAACTTTGTTGCCTGATCTTTGATCACTTCCCCCTTGGAGGGGCAACCTTGCCAGCCCAAAGAGGAAGGGGATTCAGGCAATCCTGATGGGACTTGATAGGCTAGGGTCAGATAGTAGGGGAGAAGGACCTCCTCTATCAGTGGACTAAGGGAGGAGGATGGGGGTGGGAGAGGGAGGTGGTTATAATTGGAATATAAAGTGAATAAATTGTAAAAAATTTAAAAACATAAAAGAAAAGAAAGAAAGAAAAACAAAACAAAAGCGTTTACTTTCTTCATAGACATGGTTCTTCACTGAATCATTTACAACATCCCTATTTTGGTTCTTGGAATACAGAAAAACCTTCAACACTGATAATGGCTGCTTGTGTTCCATGGCCACTATCATGGACTCCCAATCTCACCCTCTCTCCCCCTTCTCCATACATGCTCCTCCCCAAGTCCACTCTACTGTAAGTGTCACTCATCTCAGGATGCAAGGCGGGCTGTAGGTAAGAATAAGCTGGAGGAGGAGAGGCCAGTTAAGACACCCCTGGAGATTTCTGTTCAGTGACCAACTGTCATTTGGATGGAATGAATGAAAAGGAAGACTGAGAAGATAGTGGTGACTGACTACCTGGAAGAAGCCAGAGTGAGTAAAAGCCACCTGTCAGGCTTGAAGATTGGGTGTCCAGGAGAGCTGTGGTATCATAGACGCAGAGAAAACCCTTTCACACTGAGATCAGTTCCTCAGGCCACTGTTTTCCTGACACCCTTCGATGGTTGGTGCTATTTCAGTTTCTTCACCTGCAGTGGTTGTGCTGTGCTGTTTGTCACTTTGTCTTATCCCACAGTGTTTTGACCTAGTCACGGTGAAGGCATGTTTAAACTTAGAATAGCAAACTGTTTGGAATCTTAAATCCACTCACACTCGGGTTTGTGTCTGCCTTTGCTTGGATCTTCCAGTCCTTTTTCTGTTTCTGGATCATGTGGATATCTCAGGAAAGACCTTAGCATATTTAGCCTTATTTAACGGAATCAAAAGAATGCCATGTTTTCACAGAATATTTCTTACCATTCATTGGTATCACATGATTATTATTTTCATTCCTGTGTAAGATTTGAGAGTATATGTACATTCTATTTTAGGTCTCATGCTATTAAAATAAAACAACAAAATATGGCTCAAGATTTGTTTTTTTCTGTGTATGTGTGTGTGTGCATGTGTGTGTGTACTTGATATGTATGGTGCATATGTGCCTATGTGTTGTGGTGCATGTATGTGGAGGGGCAGAGGAGGAAATTGGTGTCCTGCCCTGTCATTCTCAACCTTATTCTCTTCAGTCATTGTCTCTTACTGTACTGGAGGGAGGCTGGCAGCTGCCTTCTGCCTCTGTCTTCCAAGCACTGGGATTACTGGGTTGTAGTCAGGGTTTTTGTTTGTTTGTTTGTTTGTTTCTGTTTTGTTTTGTCACTTGGAAGCTAGGATATAAATTCAGGTCCTTACGCAGACATAGCTAACATCTTACTCATTGGGTCATCTCTGCAACCCTACCTGTGTTTTTTCTGCTTCTGAAAAATGTTACTTCTGTGATTCTGGGGACAGTTTAATTATCTCAAAGCAAGATACAAGATGTTGTAACCAGATGCTCTGCCTACTAGAGCCTTGCTTTGGAACAAGTAACCATATATAGGTCTGAGGCCACGGTTCTCTGTTTTGTTTTGTTTCTTCTTCTCTTCTTTCTATTTGAGTTGGGTATTTTCTTTTTATTTATTTATTTGTTTGTTTGTTTGTTTGTTTATTGAGACAGGGTCGCTTTACATAGCTCTGGTTGTCTTGGAACTCACTATGTATACCAGGATGGCCTAAAAATCTCACAGATACTCTCCTGTCTCTGCCACCTGAGTGCAATTTAATAAAAAAACAAAACAACAACAACAACAACAACAACAAAAAAAAAACAGGAGTTTTGAAATTGTCTTTGGGAGAAGTTACTGGCCTCAGAGCTCCGTCAATATATTGAACAATTGTTTCAAGAGAGAGACTTTGAGGGTATACTGGTGCTTTGAAGCCAAGGCCTGCCAACTACTTATTACATCCTAAATCCCAGGAAAGAATTTTTTAAAATGCCTTACGCAAAACTCTCAAAACGTTTGCTTTCCACCAATGATGAATACATCATGAGAAATTTTGTGACGTTCTCCACCAGCGCCGAGTCTGTGCAGATAGCTTGCACAATTGCTCATGAGGTCTGGGGAGACGGTGGCCCTGAATCAGGGGGAGCAAGGCAAAGCCCTGGTGGCCTCAGGATCGCCATCTTAATCCCAGCCTCAGTTGTTCTGAGGTCCTGCCGCAACCACCACCAACTGAGTCAGAATTAGTGCGGACCTGAGGTCTAACTTCAACAAGCAGAATCTCTACAAATATCTTTATCAGCCAATCACCTAGTCTTCCTGAACGTGCTTGGGTGCTTGTGTTTCAGAAACAGCAATGTGAGGGATAGGGAGTGAGATGTCTCTGTGGGAAAAAGTAGCCTTTCGGGTTCTCAGCATTTTACTCAGCTGCTTTCCTACTTTTTCAGAAACTACTGAGGCTATTAAAATCTATTCTTGGTGATTAAAAAAAAAATGGTAGCGTCTCAATGGCTTTTTTCCAATTGCCCCACGTCTGGCAGCACATAACTAAACATCCAGTTTTCTTTTTCATTTCTCTTCCAGGATCAAAACAATCCTGGTCTTATTTGTGGGGAAATAAATCTCTGCCCTGCATTCCGTGTAGGGAATAGAGTAAGACAGAGAGCCATCTGGGCTAGCCTGTTTCTCTGGAGTATGTGTTTTGGCTGCTTTAAAAGTCTGGCTCCTTGGTAAGGGGGCTGGTTTATCCTGGGTGTGGAAGGAGGGAGGGGTGAAGCTGGCCTGGGAGTTCCTTTTAGAGCAGACAAAAAGAAACCAGGAAGTAAGGAGGAATTATTACAGTCTGTACAGCTCAGGATGTTAGAGGCGATAACCTCCACGGCCTGGTTATTCATTAGCAAAAAGGAAAGCTCGGGGGAGCGCAGGGCTGGTGCAGCTGCAGGCTTGAAGCAGGGTGAGAGCAGCTGGAGCAGGCCAGGCCGGAAGATTTTGCCGGGAGTTAGGATCAGTCCTTCTCTAACTTTTTCTTGGGACAGAGGGAGAGGCGGCTGTTCTTTGTTCTCAGATGTCCCTCTAAATAAAACCCTTTTTATTTTTGTTATTGTTGGGGGCCCAAGCAGTCAGGAAGAAGCACCTTCCCACTGGACCTCCTGCCCAGTCCCCTCTTAATTTTGCCCCGGGGCAGCAGCTACAAACAGAAAGGCAGCTGTGAGTGTGTCTTGGCCAAGCCCAGATCTGCTGGAGAGATCCGAAGCAGGGATTCTTCATTTCGCTCAGCTCAGTATGGTGAGTTGCAGCTGATTTCGAAGCTGCCTGGTAGAGGAAGACAGTGGATCTGTACAGCGTGTGGGGAGAGGGACATCCTCTCCCCGACTCCCAGCCAGGACACCATGGGCAGCGTCTGCATGAGACTCTGGGCATACCTGCAGCCTTTTCTCCCCTGCTGGTCCCAAGAAGCAGACAAGTCAGTGGTGATTGAGAATCCAGGGGCCTGCTGTCCTCCAGAGGCTCCCAGATCACAGGAGCCCGAGAGAAGCCATGGCCACTATTTTGTGGCTCTGTTTGATTACCAAGCCCGTACTGCGGAGGACCTGAGCTTCCGCGCAGGCGACAAACTCCAAGTCTTGGACACTTCTCACGAGGGCTGGTGGTTGGCCAGACACTTGGAGAAGAAAGGAGCTGACTTGGGTCAGCAGCTGCAGGGCTACATTCCTTCCAATTACGTGGCAGAGGACCGGAGTCTCCAGGCAGAGCCGTGAGTATCACAGACCACATTTTGTTTCTCCGTTCTTTGGGGACTGGATGCTGAGCTCTCCCTCCTTCCTATCCACGGCCACTAAGTCCATGGCAGATCGGTCCAGTGCGGGAAAGCACTCGTCAGAAGCCACTAACTGAAACATGTCTTTCTCGCAAAGTGAGAGAGAACAGGGCCGGTGTTATAATGACTTTGCTTACAGTGTGGAAACCTACAGTCCATTTAATACTCCCATTTGCCTTATTTTAAATAAAACTACATTTTCATTTATGGGCAATCACAGTTTCCTCAAAACTTACTTTCTATTCTAAAATCTGAGGCTTCTTGTTTAGTTAGTGTTAACTTTCCAAGCATTCCAGACTAACGCTACAAACCCCACAGCTAACGGCAACCATTTCCATTCTGGTAGACTCCCAAATGGGCTTACTTACGTAGATGATACACAACTACACAATAGTAGTTCTTCTGGTGAAATCAAAACAGAGAAAACTTTCTGGGAGCTCCTGGGTGATAAGGTGTACTCTTCAAATCATGACAGCTTTTGGTTGTTAGGACTAAAAACTGGCCAGGTATAGAGAGCAATATTTTTTTTTAAATTTTATTTTTCTTATTAGTTACATTTTGTTAACTCTGTGTCCCAGCTGTATCCCGATCCCTCATTCCCTCCCCAACCCCACACTCCCTCCCCGATCTCCTCCCTGCCCCTTTCCAAGTCCACTGATAGGGGAGGACCTCCTCCCCTTTCATTTGACCCTGTTTTATCAGGTACCTTCAGGGCTGGCTGCAAAGTCCTAGAGAGCAAATTGTAACAAGTAAAGTAACGGCAGTGTTTCTTCAGAACAGTAGATAGACGTTTCATCCTTAAAAATGATTTTATAAATGAGCCTGATGATGAGCACACCTGTTGTCATTTGTTGTCTCGTTCAGTTTTCTATCTCTGATTGTGGTGCTTAAACAGTTATCTATCCTTGTAAAGAAATGGGCCACTAGAGGTTACTGAATAAATCTGGTTACCACATAGTATGACAGTAATCAGAAATGTCCCCCCCAGGCTCCGGTTTTGTTTTCTCCAGCTGGTGGCACTGTGTGGGAAGTCTATGGAAACTGTGGGCGGTTGTATCTAGGTGATGGACAGGCCTTTGCAGACTGTCCCCAGCCTTTACCCTCCATCGTACTCCGTGCTTACTGCTCTGCCAGACTCTACGTACTGTCAGTCTGTCGCTCTCTCTTAGTCACTATGCCTGTTCTCCCATGATAGATGAAAACCTTCAGAAACAATGAACCAAAATAAATATTTCCTCCTGAGAGAGAGAGAGTCAGAGCCGGAGATAGAGAGAGTGTGTTAAAGTTCATCTTAGTATATGAGTAATTCCTAAGGTTTAAAGTGGCATAAAAGAGGAAAAAATTATGAAATTATTTAAGCCACATTCCTCCCCTCATCCACGCATTCAAAGAGCAGGCATAGCTGTGGGTATGTTATGGGAAGTGGATCAAATGTAGTTTGATATGTAGGAGCAGGATTAGGGAGTAGGTGAACATTCAAGGTTGGTGATAAGTTCCAATGAAATCTAAAATAGGGAACAGCTTCTGGGAAATAGGCTTATTTAGAGATCCTCTCATGTTCTCACATAGAGATTTTTCTTCTTTCTGATTGCTCTCTTTTATTATTATTTTAATATGATATTTTTATCAATTTGTTGAGAATTAGGCACTGTTTAATTTGATCATATCCACTCCCCCTCCCCCACAATTTTTGTTCCTTTGTGAGCTACACCTCTCTTGCTGTCCCAGGAAACAGAATGGCAAGGAACAGCCAAGGGCCACTGCTGCTGGGTTCCAAACTTTAATATTTCCAAGGGAAGAACAGTTTGGTGATTTATGAGATTTTTTTTTCCTCCAACAAGAACCTAAAATTAAGAAGGCTATAATGTGTGCATAACTAGACATTAATTGACTTAGACTTGTGATGAGCAGAATTGATATGTAATCAAATAGGAACAGCCCTTAACAGGGCATGGTGGTGCACTTCTAAAATCTAAGCAACCCAGGTGACTGGAGGAAGATTGATACATGTTTGAGGCTATATTGAGCTACACGGTGAACACAAGGCCAGCATCAGACACAGAGTAAAACCTTGCTTCAAGGAAAAAATAAACAAACACCTGAATGAACTCTTCATTTCTGTGGTAGTCTCGATCTTCTCTCACTTAATTTCCTATAGAGTGGGTAATACGTGAGGCACATCTAAACAGAAAAGAAATACCTTTTTTTCATCCCCTAAATGCTTAGTTTTATGCATTTCCTAATACTTTCTTTCTGTGTCAAGCATTATGAGTATTTTACATTAGTGTAACATTATCAGAACAACACTTTAATGTTAATATTTAGTGCCTTGAATTCATGATATACCAAGGTGAACACACTCTGGTTAAAAGGTGGGGCACAGTGTCTGGACTAATTTGGATTGTCTGTCTAGGAACACAAAATAAAGCAGCTAAAGTATTACTTTCAATTCACAGGGTTGGTCGATAGCCGAGAACTCTCTTTTTCACTTTCCACCTAATTCTAGCCCTTTCCTCTTGGAGTTGGTTATCAACTGTGTTTCTCTCACTGCTAACTCAGGTCTCCATAGTATGTTTCCCTATACACTCTTCAATAGAAATAGGATGTCGAAAGGTGCTTCCACTCTGTCTTTGCCAAGACAGGATGCCTGTTTCCTTCCAGGAACACAGAGAAGTTTCACCCAGGTACCTGGTTTCTTGTCACCATGTGGCTGAATGCTACAGATTCCTGAAAATACTTCCATTCTCCTAGTAAGTGATCATAGCAATTTTCAGAAAGAGGATGTTCAAGAGACTCAGACAGTGTTTATTACCAAAGGAATCATATAAAAAGTTTTAATATCTTCATTGATGTTTTCAGCCTATGTTTAAGTTTTCCTCTGAACACTGAAAATTAATCTGGTTAATTGAGTTCAGTAAACAGAACTGAAGAGAAATTGTTGTTTGCACTTTCTTCGTGGATATAAGTAGGCAATGGGAAACCAATGAAAGAGGATTCATCTAATCTCTAATTATTTAGTTCAACATATAGTAGTGTTTATTTGCTTATTTCTTTATCTTGACTTTCATTAGTAAGGAAATAATGTAAGCACTTCTGCAGTTATTACTACTGGGGTAAATCAACTGAAGGTTTTGTCTTGTTGAACATCCACCCTCAACTTTTTTGATACCTGGAACTAGAGATGTTATAAGCACCACACTATTGTTAAGACAAACTGTTGTACTAATGGATTATTTCTACACTTGGACATTCTTTAATTTTCCTGAGAATCTTACATTAAGTGATACAATGGACCAGTTCTTAAAGAATTTTGTTTCTGTGAAGAACCCTTGAATGAATTCAAATTCATTCCTCAATCCTCTTATAGACAAGTGCTCTTCTTCCATATTTTTCAATCCAGAATCCATCAAAAACTTTATACTTAAGATCTTGTTACTCAGAACTCCTTTAGAAAATATTATTTGATGTTTTTAAAGACAGCCAATATGCTAGTTACTATGTCTTAAAGGCTTGGTTGCCAGGTGGGGATTAGTGGGAGATCCTTAGGTCACAGGGACTATGTCCTCTAAGACTGTTGGGGCCTCAGTTTCCTCCCCTTTCTTTGCTTTCACCATGTGTTTTTTCTACTATGTGCCCACATGTGCTTTCTTGCTGTATCTGAGGTCCACAGCACTGGGATCAACTTGGTCTTGGTCTAGAGCCTAGATAATTATGAGCATTTCCTTTTTAATTGTTATGTGCATGTGTATGCATGTGTGTGTGTACAGGTGTGTATGTACATGTATACATTTGCATGCGAAGGCCAGAGAACAATTTCCTCAGCTACTGTCCACTTTGTTTATAGGACAGATCTTTTACTGCTCTGGAATTAGCTAAGCTAGCTCTCCAGCTAATTCCAGGGAGCTGCCTGCCCTATTTCTTGAGAGCTTGGGTTATCAGTGAATGCTACTATTTTTCATGTAGGTTCCAGGGATAGGCCTCAGATCTTCATGCTTACAAAGTCTTGGGTCCCATTAGTACAAAACCAAACTCAACAGCAACAAAACAAAACTAAACAAAACAAACAAAAATCAAATCCCTAGAGTAACTTCTGATTTTTCGATTAATTTTTCGATTAATTCTATCTTGTTGTCTCATACTCTTGTATATATTCTTACCTAAGAATCACCTGCTGTGTCTTGTGACCACCCATTCCGCTAGGAAGAAGACTCAGTGAAGTCAGAGAATCCCTATTTGCTATGCTAGGTGTATAACTTGGTTTTATGTTTTTAAGTGTCTATGAAGCATGTAACATTTCTCTTGCCCCCTTAGTCTGAGGTTTGCTTACTGTGGTATATAGGAGGGCTAGAGGAGCCCCAGGCCAGCGGAGTCTCTGGTTCTTGTGGTCACCTGGATAAGAAGCAAAAAACTGTGTGAGAAACCTTGCCTTTTACTCTGCTTCCCTCTTTCCCTTTCTCCTCCTCCCTGCTTTCCTTTGTTGCCTACATACTACTTTAGAGTCTACCTTTAAAAAAAAAGCAAGAATCAGCATTTGTAGTGTTTTAATATTTATTAATTTATTTTTAATGTGCCTGAGTGTTTTGCCTGCATTGTATGCAAGTGCACCACAAGCGAGCCTGGTACCTTTGTAGGTCAGAGGACGGCACTGGGTCCTCTGGAACTGGAGTTACAGATGGTTGTAGGCTGATGTGTCGGTGCTGGGAATAGAACCCTGGTCCTCTAAAAAAGCAGCAAGTGCTCTTAAATTCTGAGCTAGCTCTCTAATCCCAGTATTTGCAATTTGTAATTGGTAGTTGATACTTACAGGGTAAAAATACTAGAATGAAGTATGAAAATAATGGATTTTTTTTCTCATCCTTTCAAGATATATGTTGCCTCTTGTGATCTTTTTATAGTACTGAATGAGAGTTCTCTTAAAATGTTATATAATCTATGGC